CACAGATGAAAAGTCATTGTCCAGAAATCTCTACTTAGCTCACTGACAACCTGCAATTTCTTTCTGGACAAACCCCTCATTGAGATACCTGTTACATGACTTGTGAGGGTTCCTCAGGGTGAGAGAGATAGACGAGAATCTTGCTTCATGATCAGAAGGCTGGATTTATTAATTTATGATATATATTACATTCTGACTATACTAATAGAAATAGAGAGAGAAGTTGCAGAAGCTGCTAAGCTAAGAATAGAATAGGAATAGAATCCATAACAAAGTTCTGTGTCCAGCAGAAAGCAAGGACAAACTCTCCTGTGAGTGGTTAGCAAATCCAAACACTCACAGAAGACCAATCACAGATGCACCTGTTACATTCCATAGCAGCAAATAATAATTGTTTACATTTTTCTTCTGGGGCCTCAGCTTCCCAGAAGAGGAAAATTCCTAAAAGAAAGGATTTTTACAAAAGATGTCTGTGACAAGATACCTACACAAATTTCACTTGGGTTTGACTGTGGCCTTTAATTTTGACCACTGTCACCCTGTTTGCTGCTTAGTCGTCCCTTTGTCCCTTACCTAACTGCCTTGTCTCTTACTGAAATGATGTTTTGAGTGTTTTTCTCCTGCCTCTTTGGCATCGCTGCAAATGTGAATGCTTCAAACTGCCTGTGAATTGAAACAAATTGGAGAGCATAACAGAAATTAAATGTTTCTAGGGTAGGTCTTTTTTTCCAAGATCTGAGCTTGAGGCTGTAACTGAAATGGTAATTTAAATTAAATTTGCAAGTACATTTATTCTGTGTGTGATTACGAGGAGAAGTAATTTTTCCCTATTGTCTACATTGCCCAAGCCTGAGTATACATCCCCTTGTGAAGAAATCTGAAATGGCTCCCCACAGTTATTCCATGCCCTGCTCACTGTTCCATATAGATAAATATTAATAGCCCAGAGTGTTGCCTTAAAATTAAGAATTTTAGATCAAGAAAAGTTCCTCTATGGTTTGTGGCAATTCAAACATCAACAAGAAGGTTGCCTGTGGGTTGGAGATTGCAGTGGAATAGGATTCCAATAACTGATTCCATATAATAAATAAAGGAACCAAAGAAACCAGAACAGATAATACTGTGCTTATAGTGATATTTCCTTTGCTATTTTTGGTTCCCCTGAGTCAATCTCTGGTTTAATGTCAGCATGAATGGGAATTGAATTGGACCAGTGGCTGGTGTAACACAAAAAGTGCTGGCAGCTGATAATGGTGTTATGAGTTTATGGTGATTGGACTGGCACCAGCAAAAATATCCAAGGGACAACTTGGCTGGGAAGCTAGAACATAGGAATCAGAGAAATGAGAAGAGAATCATGTGTTGCCAGATAAGACTTTAGGTTTTCCCTGTGGATTAATACCTGAATGAAAACCACCACTTTTCCTTTATGCGATGTCTTCTTTCCTTTAGGAATTACAGAAAGAAGACAGTTTGATAGAATGAAATATGCTCCTGTTTGGGTTTTCCACCTGTTCAAACAGTTTTTTGGTAACCAACTGTAGTATCTAATTAAAGCTGCTGCCTTCCTGGTGCACCCCTTGAGAAATGCTGCCATGCAGGTAATTAATGTGCTGTGCCTGCCCTGGCTCAGATGCCTGTGTTTGCAGCAGGCTACTTTAGAACATGCTGCCTTATCTTTAACCTTGGAGACATCTGGTGCTGGCTTCTCAATCAAACAGAACTTGGGACACGACAGGCATCAGACCTGACTCTGGCTTGGTGATTTCCACTTTTTTAGCATTAGTATTTTCAGTTATATGAGGTGCTGATAGCACACTGCATCACATGTGAGGAAGGTGATTGTTTCTTTCAGGTAAAATCAATTTATTGGTGCTATGCAACTTGACCTGCTCAGTCTGAAGAAAAGGAGACTGAGGTGAAACCTCATCACAGTCTACAACTTTCTTATGATGGGAAGAGCAGGGGTCCAACACTGATCTCTTATCTGTGGTGACCTGTGATAGGACTGAGGGAATGGTCTGAACTCTAACAGGGAGATTTAGGCTGGATATTAGGGAAAAGGGTCTTCACCCAGAGAGGGGCTGGGCACTGGAACAGGCTCCCCAGGGAAGTGGTCACAGCACCAAGCTTGACGGAGTTCAAGAAGCCTTTAGACAATGTTCTCAGGCACATGGTGGGACTCTTGGGGATATTCCTGTGCAGGGCTAAGAGAAGGACTCAATGAGGTTCCTTCCAACTCAGCATATTCAGTAATTCTGTGGGAAACATCTTAAAGAATAATCAGCACTGATTTTGCCAGGCACCCTTAGGTCGGCCTTGTCTGACCTACTGGCTGTCTCTGAGTAGGAACATGCTGCCAGATGGCTTCCTTGGCACTCAAGATACTGCTTTTCAGAGCAAAGCTTTGCTAAAGGTTCCAGGTGCAACAACAGAGTTTCTGTGCCCTTCAGGACTGAATTTCTAGCCCAGAGAGGTTAATTAATTAAATTAATTAATGAAATGTTACCATTGTTTATGAAAGCTGTGATGGCTCTGTAACTTCACCATTGACTGCAAGTGAAGGAGAGGTAAAGGTCTGGCAGGCTCTGCCTGTAGCAGAGGTGTTATAAAGCTGTGAGACCCTTCTGTCTGGTGTCAAGATCAGTATAGCTGAGCTGAAATCAACCAGATGAGAAACATACATCAGTCTTCCTGTAGATCTGTCACAGTTATATTTTCTGGAAAAATCCCACTGTCTAGGATTCTTCTCCTGGGAAGCTGAGAAGCCTCAGAGGAAAAGGACAAAAATATTATCTCATTGCTTCTCTGTTTTGCTCATATGGAATGTGTTTGGAGCTCGTTTATCCAACTGATGATTGTTTCATTGGTTTAATGTGAATTGTTTTGACTTATTGGCCAATCATGGCCAAGCTGTGTCAGGGTTCTGGAAAGAGTAATGAGTTTTCATTATTATCTTTTTAGCCTTCTGTAAGTATTATTTAGTATAATTTAGTATAGTATTCTTTAATATAATATGGTATCTTAAAATATTAAATTAGCCTTCTAAGAACATGGAGTCAGATGCATCATTCCTTCCTTCATCTGGGAACCCTGCAATTACAATATACATCTGTGTGTGTAGGCGTGTACATTCCTCCAAGTACACCAATACAATATCTAGATGTCATATATGTCTGTATAAATTAATCAGTTCCATCTGTATCCCTTGGCAATGGCTGCATGACAGTCGACATACAATAGCCCAGCCCATATTAAGCACCCAGAACTATATCTATCAAAACAGTCCACAAACAGAAACTTTGCAATGGAACTGCTGCATAATAACACATACTAATTTTAAATTAATAAACCAAATACTTCCTCTGGGAAATTAACTCTGATATGAGTTGCATCTTGATTGAATGAAGGCTTTAATACATGTGCTTACCTTTCAGTTGGGTAAACATTATGGGAACACCATGCATGCTCTGGAATGTTAAATTACAACACTTATGAGCATGATAAGAAAAAGATAATGGTTTGCTAAATCTCAGGCTTGCCTATAGGCAAAGGTCTTCTTCACCTTTTTTTTTTTTTTTTTAATTGAACATATTTTTGAGTTCTCAGAAAGGAGCTTTGTTACAGCATGGTCTGTAATGACAGCAGTTCACAGAGGGAGCTGGGTGGGAATAGAAATGCAAATATTGTGATGCAAGAGTCCAGGAAACTGATCTGAACTCCCAGTTGCCTCTAAAGCAATCCACATAGTAAACTGTTCTGTAAGAAATCAAAACACTGCACTATATGTGCATAAAGTGTTCACAGTTTCTCACATGTATTTATTCAATTAATACCATTTCAGATTAGCTGCCATCAGTAGAAGGGCCTTGAATTGGAGTAACAAATGTTAACTATGAACACAGTGCCCTAAGCCAGCTCCCCTTCATACTGCAGCTTCCAGGTGTTCAAAGGAACCTGTCCTTGGTTCTGTGGTAACACAGGGAGCCTGTGTGAGTCAGTAACCCAAAACCAGTAAATGCAGATCAATTTTAGTAGATGTACTTGATCACTAGCAACTAAACCAATAAGTTAACCTGCAAGGCAAGATAAAGTAAAGAAGATTTTAGTACCACTTAATTGATTTTTGCTCTAGATGCTCATGTGAAGTAAACAGTGCCATTAAATAAAGATTTGTTTTAAATGTGATCAGTGGGCAATCTGTTTGCTACTATCCTTTCTTCAGACAGAAAAGGCTTCAGGGGAGAACTTACTGTGATACTAATAGTACTGAAGATACAAGCTAAAAAAAGCCCCAGCCAGCTGTTGTAGACAATGTGGTTTAAATAGCAATTGCCTTGGAGATACAATGTCCATTCTCTACCATATTTAATTCTGGTTTCCTAAGTCCCATTCATTTTCAGAATGAAGAATTTCTTGTGTCAACATTTGTACTCTGTTTTTTTCTTACTGTGCCAATTCCAATGATTTGGAATTTAACAGCTGCTTAGTTTGAATACTACAGCTGAAATTTTAAGCTTTATTTCTGCTGTGGCAACTGATCCCTCTTGCTTTTACCCCTCTTGCTTTTACCTCTCTATTTCTAGCTGCATGATTTTGCTAAAGGACAAGCTGTTACTTTGTTTAACAGCAGAACATAATGCCTGCCTTTGATAAACATAAGGCAAAAAAAGAATGCTTACAAAACCTAGGAGTTGCAAATATCTGAGCTCTTCTTCGTAAAGTTTTCAGAAACAGAGCCATAAATGCACAAGGTTGTTTATCATACTGGATTATCTGTTTCTCCTAACATAAATAAATACAATAGGTATATCCAGATTTATATCAGCATAATAAAAAGCAATATGAAATGCGTATTTCATACTCATAGTCACTGGAAAAACATGCTGGAAAAACAAAAGCCTTCTTTAAATCTAGAAGATAATACTTACATAAGGAGTGCAAGATTGACTTCAATTCTAATTTGGGGTCTAAGTTTACTACTCAGGATAGTAGAGAACGACTGACAAAGGTCTTCAATGAGCCAATTTACATACTAAGATACATAAATTGGGCCAGTTAACATGTGCAAAAATTTTATTTTATTTACTGTCTGGAACTGTACCTATTGTCCTCTCCCCAAAATAGGAAGAAAATAGAAAAACCACAACTAGCTGTTGCACTACTAACTACAGATGTGCTGCACAGGATGAATGAGGTGAGGTTCCTTATGTAATTTAATTTCTGGGCTTTTTTTAAAGCTTTTCTGGAGGGCAGAATTATGAGAAAATTATTTGTGTTGCTAGTCTGAACATTCTTACACAAAGAAGTAAAATCTGTTGCCTAATGCTTGGTTGATTAAAAATACTAGTAGAATGGAGCAAAAGAAAGTTTACCAAACAATACAGAAATATTACTTACAAAGAAACCTGACAAGAATAAGACCCTGCACTGCATGTTCAGCATGAAAACAAAACCAGGGATGCATCAGCTATCTGCAAGGGACGATGGATGCAAGATGCTCCTTGCAGCTCACAACCTTGTATCTCATCTATGCCGTGTTCTGTTTCTCCTTTTGGAGTGCAAAAAAACCCAAGCTGTTTCTGTAAGTCTTGCAGGACTTGAATTGATGTACTGAAGCTGAAGGTCCATCTGTTCTAGTGCCTTGTCTCCCACTGGTCTTGGCTTTTCATGCCTAAATTCTGTGACCAAAATAGAGAAGTTTGGTAGGTTTCCCTTTCTGGGGAGAAAGTGACTTCTCTGCCTGAGTTTAAGATTCGGGTGGCAGTGGCCTTGGATTGTGTGGTGGAGGATGCCAGCAGCAGTGTAAGGGTTGGGCAAGTCTGGTCCTACTGCTCTTCATTGGGGATGAAAATTCTCGTGTGTGTGCAATTGAGTTAAGACTCAAATTACACCTACAAGAGCACCACCTCCCGTGCTTGAAATGAGCTGGGATCATGAATCTTGTGAGAACGGTGACATTGAGCTGCAGTCATTCAGGGTTGAAGACTGGGAAGTAGATGAAAAAGAATTAGAAGCTGGGGGAGATTCTCTAAGGCTTTGGCGAAGTGACTCAGGGCTGTGCCGCATCAACAGCCTCCGTACACTCCTAAGACGAGGCGCTCCAGCCTTCGGAGGGAGTGGTGACTGTGCGGAGTCCCAGCGGGACCCGGTCGCCCGGCACGCCTTCTACCCTCGCTTCTCCCTCGGTGTGCGCCCAGCAAACAGGTGCTCCGAGTTAATCACGCCTCCCACCTCCCCGCCGCGGAGGCCGTGATAGGGTGGGCATAGCAGGGGGCTGCACACCCAACCGGAGCAGGAGCCGCCGCTCCTCCCTGCCGCGGCACATCCTCCCGCCCCCCGCCTGCGGGGCTGCCGCCGGGGTGGTGCCAGCAGAGCCGGCCGGCTCCGCGCCTCGGCATGTGCTGAGCAGGGGCCGCTCCGCGCCTCGCCCGCAGCGCGCCCGTCCGGAGCCCGCCCGCCCGCTCGGAACAACGGGTGCTCGCCGGTGGCGGAGGAGCCGGCGGTGAGTGCGGGCAGGGCGGGGCCGCTCGGGGCGGGCTGGGTGTGTGTGTGTGTGTCTGCACGGAATGATAGGTGTGTGTCTCTGATACCAGCGACAGCTGGCTAGAGGTACCCTGTTGAACGTTCCGTGCGGGCAGGGGAAGGAGGAGAAGCCGGGCGCCGTGTCCGCCCTGTGCCGACGGCGTGTCCGCGGGAGCCCGGCGGTGCCCATATGGTCGCGCCGCTCTGCTTTCCTCGGTAGGTGCCTCGCTGTGTGCATGTATTCGTATGTTTGTGCATGTATAGCTACATATGAGCCTGCATATACATGGGCGCGACGCCCTGCTCCCTCTGCAGGTGTTATTGGGGTGTGTTATTGGATCCAGGTGCCCCCGCAGCTGGTCGCGGCGCTGCCCCGGGGACGGCCCTTGGGACCCCGCCGCTGGACGAGCCCGAGGGTGCTGCGGGCCGGCGCTGTGTGTGTGTGTGCGCGAGGCTCGCAGCCCCTCCGCCATCCCCGGGCCGCAGGTACCGTGGGCAGGCTGGCTGGAGCGCGAACGCTGCGCTGCCTGCCTTCGCACGCTCGTCACGAGTTAGTGGAAAGCTGCGACAGCCCAGATGCCTTCCTAGACATTCATTCCTCCTACTCAGCCTCTGGAGAAGGAGAGAAGATAACAGGCAGCACTTCTGTCTGTGTGGGTGGAGGAAGAGAAAGGACTACTGATAATGGATTTGTTGAAGGGACACTGATTCTGGGTTTTAATTACTATTTCATTGGTTTCACCGTAGCCCTGGGTTGTATAGCTGCCAGAGGACACTCCTGGAAGCTTTAGTGCAATGCTTTTTAAATCCTGTGTTCTTGCTTTTGCTTTTTAGTAAAATATTTTCTCATTTGTGATACATGCAAGAAACCCATTCAGGGAAACACGGTTTCCAAAAGAATGATGTGGACTGTGTGTAAAATGCTGGACTAATGGAAATGCAGCAGTTTTTATTTTATCCAGACCTGAGTTGTAATGGCATTTTCTTACAAGTGAGCATTTGTCATTTATGAGAGGTTTTGGTTTTCTGTTTGGTCTGTTTGTTTGTTTGTTTGTTTGTTTGTTTTTTTTAAGCTGCTGATGTTTATTTAAGTTGGCTTTTTTCTCTGGATGAGAGGTGGAGTATCATCAAACCACAGGAATAGATCTTGCATTCAGCACATGAACATTGCTGTCCTTTGGGAGAAATGATGGCCTGATAGGCAAGAAAGGTACTTCTCTCAATGGAAGCATCCTTCAATCAGACTGGCATTATTGGCAACCTCTCCATAGGATTCTGTGGAAATAGGATATCTGTTTCATACTGCTATACAATTTGGGGGCATAAGTAATATAATTTTAAAATAATTGTGATCCCATTCAGTTGGAATATTTTTTCCCCCTTTCTGGGATAAAAAGCTGGAAAAACCTTACTGAAAGTGTGTACTGTTTGTTTGTTTTTTTCTCTAGAGCTGTGTGAAGAAAGTCTTCAGCCATGGATGTGTTCATGAAAGGGCTTTCCAAGGCAAAGGAAGGAGTCGTAGCAGCAGCAGAAAAGACCAAGCAGGGTGTGGCAGAGGCAGCAGGAAAGACGAAAGAGGGAGTCCTCTATGTGGGTAGGTGGGCAGCAGAGAGCACTCTGCTGGCTGGTGCACCCCAGCATTCACAGCTGGATCCTCATCAGGCCCTTTCTTCTGCAGAAAAAAAATATGTAATTGCTCGTAGGAGACCATTGCAAAAGAAACAAGAGGAGATTTGTGCCTTCCTGAGCTCTGGTTCCTTGAAGCCAGTGCCTTACAGCACGGGTCGTTGGGTGACACTCCATGCAAGAGGTTTGCCAGATCAAGGCTGAAGGGGTGGTTGGTGCAGTAAAAATAAAGATGAAAAAAATGTAAAAGCTGGAGGTGAAGGTAGCTTCACAACATTCTTCGAAGCGTGTGGGACTTGAACAGTCAGATTTCAGGAGAAGACACTTGAGAGGTTAGCTCAGGAGTTGAGTAGTAGACATGCAGACTGCTTGGTATGTTGATGGTAACATGTTATATGACCAAGTGTCATCTGAAATTATCATCATGTTCTGTAATTACCATTGCAAATTCATGGCAAATATTTTCCACCACTTCTCAAGTAGGAGCCTCTGCAGTTAATGAGGTAGGGCAGGTAGACCCCAAGGTAGCAAAGCAGTTGTTAGTGTCTTATTCTAGGCCAAACAAGTCTTGCACAGAGCCTGGGATAAAATTATTTTCAAATTCCTGAGTGGTACTTTGATGCAGGATAGTCATCTTCATTTAGCAAGTGTTGGGCTTTAGAAGCGTGTCTTGCAAATGCTGTCATGAAAAATTCACAGAAAAGCAATCTGCCAAGACTATGAGTAAGTGGTTATTTATAAAAAAATGATTATGGATCTGTTTCTCTTATTCATCAAATAAAACTAGTCTATAAAAGAATGGAAGGGGAAGAGATACCCTTTTCTGTGGGTAGTTTCTGTTCTGTTGATTTTGTAGCAGGTCAGTTCTGTAATGGGCACTGTGTGTACTGAGGGAGATGTGCTCACATAACAGAGAGAAGTTAAACAGAGCTGAAAACCAGAGGCATTTCTTTTCAATGGGAGTACTGAGGTCTCTGGTATTCCAGTGCCTTTTTTGGATTCCCTCTTGCAGCCTAGTGCCAGTCTGTAAGAAATTATTTCTGCTCCAGATAGTGTGGACTACTCGTTTGGAATATACTTCCCTCCCTTTTAAGCCATAGCAAAGCTCAGTGCTCTTGCCAACAGGGATGGCAGTCATTTTGAACACTAATTGTAGGATGATTCTATTTTAAAATGAGCATCTGCTCATTTTCAAGACAGCAAAATAGATGTTCTTCCACTGTATATTGTGCTTGATGTTGGAATTATTTTCCAGAGGTAGGACTTTCTTTTATTCTGTTTTCTTGTAGCCCTGGCCATGCTTCTGGGGTCATTGATTTCTTTGTATTAGAAACCTGCATTGTGTGCTAAATTAATCTTTGTTTCTGACCTGTTCTCCGGACCATAATAACATTTGAACCTAGTTGTGTTCCCAAAGGCAACAAATTTCCTGTTGTCTTCAGAGACGCTTTTGCTGAGGTTGAACTTTGGAGGGCAGGCTTGCGATTTTGTGCAAGAATTTTAAGTAATTACTGGGGACAGCAGAGTCATGAGCTGTGGTGGGGACCTGTGTATGTGACTGTGGTAATGGTGGAGGATCCTTCTCCCACCAGGTGCCTCCTTTTCAGGAGGCAAGGGCTATGTGCAGTTTGTGCAGGCAAAAGAGCCTTTGGTTGGAAGCTCTGCCAGCTTGTGCCCAGCTGTGTGCTTTCCCATACAGGCAGGAAGTCTCAACAAGTTCAAATAGGGAAAGGAGGAGCTGGGTGTTTCTCTCTACTTCCCAAGCAGAGGTGTCTCTTCCCCTGTGCAGCATGAGCAGAGGCCAGTGGGATCATCTTTGGTTCTGCAGGCTGATAATGACTGCAGTGGCAAAGGTGGTGAAGCCCCTCTATGAGCAGAGGAGAGGAGCAGCACAATTCATTAGAGCTCGTGGGGACTTCTCACTCCCTTTTTCTATAGTTGGGTTTTCAGATTTGAGATTCACAGCCAGATTTTACTGTGAAAGCTGCCTGACATCTTGCAAAAAAGAACCTAACAACACTGGGCTGAGTGGGACCTGTTAATCATTTTCAGTTTCATAACATTCAGCCTCCAATTGCTGCTGGAGAATTAAGAAGATGCAGAGTTTTTGGTCCAGATCCCCTAGGTGATGTGGCTTCCCACTGAAATCAGTGCAATTCAAGTAAATCTGGACCTTTCTGTCCGAGCTGCTCTTAACTATTATGTGGAAGACTATAACCTAATTCTACCTGGTAAGAGTTCTATTAGCAACAGCTGCTATTTGGGATGAAATGTAGTAATTGTAATTCTTTTATTATTGTTTTAGTTTTAGCATTTTTTTGGCACAAAGAAAATTTCTCTTAGCCAAGGGAGAAACTTAGAGCTGTGTAGGAGAGCAGTGTATTGGAGGACTGAGGTTAGTTGTTTTTTTTCTCTGTCCATGCTGAACTCTCTACTTCATTCCCTCGGTCCACTGTCTGGCCTCCTTTAAAGTACCCAAGATCCCTTTTATACAGTCTACAATGGTTTTTAGGCTTTCAGGTATTGGGGGTTTTTTCCCCTTAAATTTCTCTGCCAATGGACTTCAGCATTGGCTGACTGAAATTGGTGGTGCTCTAACTCATTCAAGCACCGCATCAGGACCTTACTTGATGTGAAAAAATGGCCTGGTCATTGTTTAGAAAGAAGGACTAAGGCTCAGCAGTCCTGTGTATGCTGTAGGTATAAAACTGCATCTTTCTGTAGCCTTGAAGAGCTTTTAGTGTGAAGCAGAGAGGAAGTGAGTGGCAGTACTTGATCCCCACTCGCTTTGAAGCCAGAACTGAGTAAGGAGGATGTGCTCACACACCCTTGGCAATGCAGTGTTCATGAAGTCTGCTGAGCTTCTGTGTGCTTCCAGGGAGCTGGAGTTTCTACTCAGTCGACTCTTGAGTGCATGTTGAATGTTCAGGAATGGAAGTTTACAGTCTGGTTGTTTTTGTTGTGTCATAAGCTCACAGAACAAAGGAATAGTTTATTAGCAGCAGTGTGGCTGACAGTTGTTTACTACTCCTTGTGCTGGCACGTGGCCTTAGAGTAGAGCAGAGCAGTCATGACCTATTTGGCAAAGCCGCCCAAATTCCTCCACTCTTTTCATAATGGTTCTTATTTTCCTTTGGTGGTAGAAAAGCCAGCAGAGTAATTGAGGAACTCAGTGTTGGTCTGGTGGAATAATGGCTTCAGGACTTGGAAGCAAACATTTTCCTTAAATGTAGATTGCCCCTTCCTCTAATTTGGGTTTATATCTCCCAGTCTGTAACCTGCTCTGACTAAGCAATGTCAGTCTGTTGGTCTCTCAAATAGTCCAGAAATGAGTGTATTTGCAAACTGCTGATACATTCCTTGGTTCTGGCGCAGTGACAACAATGATAATAAGTCATGAAGAGACCCTATGGTATTTTTTATAATTGGAAAAAACCCCAAAATTGAGTTGAGTGTTCTCCCTCCCCTCACACAGATGTCTACTACAGCTAGGAAAAGTAGCATTACCACGTACTACTATTGCTTCTTGATTTAGGTTAGAGTCCTGTTCCTTGGTCTTTGTTATCCCTACTCTGATTCCTCTCTTCCTGGATATGCAGGGTACAGTGAGCAAGACTGTTGGTGTTTTGGGAATGCCAGGATGAAAGACAGCTAGTTTATCCTGGAACCAGTGTGGACAACCAGCTTTCCTTCATGGCTAGCCAAAAGTCATCCTACTGAACTCAAGTGTTGTTATTTATAGGCCTTTTCTGGCAGCTCCTAATGTGCTTCTAGATGCTGTTGTAGCTGCCATGGCAGGATCAGCTTCTTGCATGTAAGTGTGCAGCAGTGGGGCAAGTGCTCTTGTGCTCTAACATATGCTGTAGGCTCTGGAATGCCAGCCAGCTGGCTGTTTGCCAATTAATGGATCTGGCTATACATACCCCTGTTCCATATGGGTCTGTGAGCTGAGCTTTCTTTAAAGAAAAGTCTGTCTTCCACTAAAGAGAGCAGCATTTCTGTGTGAGTTGTGGTTATAGCAGTTTTGTCTGGGCAAGTAAGAAGTAAGAGTCTACTTGGAATAGGTGCCTCTGGAGAAGTGTGCATTACACAGGTCCCCAGGGAATTCTGTCATGCCATCCATCCCTTTCTGGCCTTAGGGAACTGGCTGCTTGCTAATTCACAGGTTGCCGTGTCTTTAATGTCTTGGCTTGCAAAGAGTCTGTTCAAAAACATGAACAAGATGTTGGCCAGGTCTAACAATGCCTTCAAAAGCATTGATATTGAGTATTCCAGTAGACATACTGTAAGCCTGCAGTGGTGTTTAGTTGGTAGAAGTCAGCAGGACCATCATCTGCTTGAATTCCAGGCTGTGCTTCTTCAGGTCTCATGGTGGTACAAAATTGAGCACCAAATTCCTAAAACAGATCCTTAGGTGTGAACTGTTTACAATGAAACACTTCAACTCTTGTTCAATGGTAAATATTTTTCAGTGAGAGAAAACCAACTTTTTTTAATGATAAATTTGGAATAAAGAGGGGAAAAAGACTTCTCAGCTGTTTAACCTCATCGTTAGCTAAAGCAACATTTCATTTTACTTGCTGCAGTATTTTTTTCCCTTGTCTAGAATAATCATGGATGATTATTCTACTCTTGCCCGTGGGTAAGAGAGCCTTTTCAATCTTGTAATCAATCTAATAGTGCCAGAACTACATGGCTAAAGTTGCATAAATTTGCACTAGTAGCAAGTGGCACATATTGATCAATGAGCTTATATTGTGTTTCGGTGTTTAACTGTATTGCTGCAAAGAATTTTGGACAAAAAGTTGCTTTTTTCCCTAATATTTTTCTGCTCATGCATTTTCTTCTGTTATAATTTGAAGTCAGAAGTATAAATTATAATGTCTCAAATACTGAATGACAGCAAAAAAAATTGCGTTACAAATAAGGTCATTTTTGTGTTGGTAAGAAAAATAAAATGTCTCCTATCTCTGGCACACTAGGTAAGATGATTAACTAGGAGCCATAAACTCTGTTAATTGCACATTGTTAAGCATCATAGTCCACAGATGGATACTAATGCCTGAAATGTAGCCAAATTATGGAACCTGACAAGGGCAAGTAGAGGGCTGGTAGGGAAAAAGACATCCAGTTATGTTTGAAACAGTAGTATGTGCTAATTAGTTTAAAGAACAGTTGTTCTTTACTGATGGCTTTGCCTCTTCCCTTAGACTGAATTTCTTAATAACCTTGGAAGACATTGTGTGCAATGATATGCGGTCTGCAGGTAATCACTCTTCATCATCTCTGTAGTCTTTATCAATACTTAAGAATATGCATTTTCAACCTAATATTTTTCTTTGTTTAGGTTCCAGGACCAAGGAAGGAGTTGTTCATGGTGTTACAACAGGTAAGATAATTACCTCTTGATTTCAGCTTCTTTGCCTCATGAGATTAACCAGCCATTTAGCTGTTAAAAATTGAGGGGTTTTGAGAGCACTATAATTTATGAAAGATGGAAAAGCATAGGAAAATTGAGAGATCTGGTTGGGTGGAAAGACTGAATGGAAATGCCTTACAGGAAAGAAACAAATTTCAGAGTTTTGATTTGAATTTGTCACAGTTGTGAGTGTTTTGAATTTTTTTTTTAACTGACTAATCTCTCAGTAGCAAGAGCACTGTCAAACTTGGAATTAAATGCCAGGCATGTATCTTCACAATAGCATTTCTACACCAAGAAAGAGTAAATTTGCATTTTAAATTGATTTGCAGGGATCATTTTAGGTATGAACAGAAACCAGTAACCAATAATTTGTTTTAAGGGGCAAAATGAATGGCAAGGCCTTTATATCTACAGAGTGCAGAAAAGCCTTAGTTGACCATAGGGCATTGAATAAAATGTATAATTTTCTGCTGTAGACTGTGGGAGTTCTGAAGATGTGAAGAGATGGTATGGTCAATAAATGTGTTTTTCCCCTAATAAATTCAGAAACAAATAAGATCATAGAAAAGGATTTATTTTTCCTCAGTGTGCAGCCAGTCTCTCATTCAGCTCCCATGTCAGTGTATCATTGTCCTCACAAGGCAAAGGATAAACGCTGGTAAGTAAACAAATGTCAGTACTTAATACACAACCCACATAAATGGTTGAAAAATAGTATTTCTAGTAACAAAACAGAACAGAATATTGAGGGTAGTCCTTCAGAGCTTAGGCTGGGCATGTGTGCTGTTGTTACGAGATTTGAAATCTCAGCTCATTAGACCTCAATTAAGAGAAAATATTCAGAGGGACCATAGCTATGACCAGTAGAGGATTGCAGTAGAATGAGATTTGGGACACCTACATCCAATATTATCAGAGATGTGGGAGCAGCAGCTGACAGCACCAGGAAGCAAGTTAATAGAGGTGACGTTCACCAGGCTGGGATGTGGTGGAATCTAAGTCAAGGGCATTTGCACATGTATGAAAGATACTGAAGCACTGGAATTCTAGTGGGCTACCTCAGTGGGGGTCTTCTCTTCCTCATCCTGAAAGAAACTGCTCATCTCAAATGCTGTGCCTCTCTTTATGTGGTGGCAATATATTTAATTAGGCAGGAAATTTTCAGTGGGTGAGTAGAATTTTCAATAGGTTTTGAAATACCTTAAATTTTCTTCTGGAAGGTACAAAACAGACTGTAAAGCCAAACATAAGGGGACCACACCTGTTATGTGCTGTGCCTGTGAATGGAGAATTTGGAGAAGTTACTGTAGATTTTAGGCAAAACAGTAAACACTTTAGGAAACAGGTGACACAAAGTGAAACACTCCAAACTTGGGAATAATGGGTTTTGTGCTATAGTTTGCCTCCTTCTGTCCTTTCAAGCTGTTTCAGCTGTTTGGCTGTTGATTGAAAATGGAGAATGAACAGGGAGGGAACAGGCTGAACTGTGGTAGTGAGAAGAGAAGGCTTCAGGCAAAATCTAGAGGTCGCAGCTTCCAAAATGAAACAGTATGGACTCACCAGTGTAAGAACAGAGCAAGTGCTTGGACACATTTTAAGAATAAAAAAATAATAGCAAGTCTATAAGTAGTTGGCAAGAAGAGAAGGTAGATAAAAACAGACTTGAGTTCACTGTAGTGGTTCTGTGAGGTGTAACATTAAGACAGAGGTGCTAGTGAAGTTGACATCAAATCCACTTAAATCAATGCTGTTAAAGTTGATATGACAAAAATGCCTTTTAAGTGGCTTGCAAAGACCTACTTGTCTCTTCATATGACTGGGAGTTTACAAGCTGTGTTGGTCTTATGATATTAATTCCCCAGTGCATTAAGTGAAACCTGAGGTGAAATAAACACTTTATTATGTAAATAAAAATGGTTTGAGAGGTTGGAGACAGTCAGATACAAACTAGAATCACAGATCAGAATGAGTGTTCAGTTTTGCAGTCAGTCTTTTCTTAATGCCTGAGTTCCAAAATCTTGATAGCTTTACTGTCTTTGATTAAGTTGTCGTTTAGGTCCCTGTGCTGGTGAAATGACTCTGAGATGACACATCTTGAAGAGCTAAAAAACCTAATTGCATTTTTAATTCAGTTAATTTCCAAACCCAGAATTACTAGACTGAGGTTTTCTTGCTTTAAATGTGACTTGATGGTACCAGATTTATTAACATCAAGATACTGTGAAACGAGGATTCCAGGCTGTGATTCATTGGAATATGGTAAGTGTGTTATTTGTCAGGTCACCCTTTCTCTAAATTTCTGATAAAAGCAGCTTTGCTTATTGGTTTTATGGAGTGTATGCCCTGTGTTTAGACTTGACTTCCTGATTGAAAGCTCTCTTGGCTTTGACTGTAAATGCATAGTTCACCCATCATACCTATCTCCCAGAAATGAGCAGTATGAAAGATGAAATATTTACAGTTCATCTTCAGGTCTTCTAAATAAAGCACTATTTGTAAATAAGTCAGGGCAAAAAAAGCTTTTGATCCTTCAGTCATGTGAGTGAAGACACAGTATTGATAGTAGTAAACCATAGTCAGGTGTTTGGCTAAATTCTTTGTTTATTCAAGATCATTCTTGTTTTTAACTTTCTTAGTCTTTGGAATTCCTTAACATTCCTTAGTCATTTAACTCCATCAGGTATCTTACAGAAAATTGCATAAATTAAAGAACCACCATATTTATGGCATCTTTGTGAATGAATTCTTCAAGTACTTAAGACAAACTCACTGTTTGAAATACATACTCAAAAGTATATTTGGTACAATAGGAATAAGTTCATCAATTCAGAGAAATTTGGTGGTTTGAATCTACTTTTATTGTTCAAGGTTGAAAGTAACTAGTTATTATTTTGAATTGCTCCAGAGGTTGTACATTGATACTGTATGCTACCCAGTTGTCTGTAATAAGTAGTGCAAAGACAACTTCAATGCTAATACTTTTTTGCACAGTGCTGTAGTCAGTATTAGCAATTAAACTCACCCTTGGTGTGGTCGTTGTACTCTGTCCCAGGGTCATTTAATGAAATGGACAGTCTCTGCATAGATAAAAGAAGTAATCAGGCCATAGCACAGCAGAGCTCTGCAGAAGCTGATTTCCTCTGGGTCTCAACACTGTGATGCAGAGCAAATATCAATTTTACAAAGACTTAATGGCTTAAGATCATTAAGCAACCTGGTATTCAGATAAACTTACTAAGTTGGAATCAACCCCCTGCATTCTGAACTGATTTCTTTGTGCACACTTAGTGCTTTCCCCATTACTACTTAGTGTAAGCAATAAAATAAATGAGATTGGAAACTTATTTTGGATTTTCTCCTGTTGTGGGGTTTTCAGAGCTCTAGGGTCACCAGGCTGGATCTCATTATTAAAGTCACTCAGGTAATGATGTTGATGTTTAGTTATTCCTTAGAGACAGAAAAGATTTTCTCCTTACTATGATTGCTTTTGCCAAACTGTGCTATTTATATAGTTTGCTCAATTTATCTTCATGGCTCTGATTTCTGAAGCAGTGTGTGAGAGATGTTCCATGGTAACTCCTGTGTCACCTTTCTTATGCTGTGTCTGTGTGCTGCTTTTGGCTGGGATGGAGGTCATTTTCCTTATGGTACCTGGTATGGGGCTGTTTGGGATTTGTGCTGGAACCAGTGTTGATAACATAAGGATGTTGTAGTTACTGCTGGGCAGGGCTTACACGTCATAGCTTTTCCTGCTTCTCACCTCACCCCACCAGTGAGAATGCCGGGGGTTCACAAGGAACTGGGGGGAGACATGGCCAGGACAAGTGACCCCAGTTGGTTATTCCACATCACCTGGCATCATCCTGAGCAGTAAAACCGTGGGGAAGGTTGGTGAGGGTCATCTGCTTGGGGGCTGGCTGGGCATCACTTGGTAGGTGGTGAGCAGTTTGAATTTGCATCACCTCTGGGATTTAAACCTTTCTTTCTTTGTTTTCCTTTTTATTATAATTTTTATTACTGTTATTATTTTATTTAAATTGAACCATACTTATCCCTTGAGTTTTCTTACTTTTACCCTTCCAGTTCTCTTCTTCCCCATCCTGCTGGAGGATGAAGGTAATGAGCAGCTGTGTGGTGCTTAGTTGCCAGCTGGGGTTAAACCATGGCTGTCTGAAATAGAAGCAGTCTTAAGTACACTGCTTTTGTTAGTACTTTTATCAGTATCTTACTGTTGCGCCAGTAATAGTGTTGGTGGCCTGATTCTTTCCTTTTTCATTTGAGTTTGTGTGTTCTAGGCCTTTCCTGGGATAATGTGTTGCTGGGAGGAGGAAATTCCATACTGGAGACAGTGCCTTCCCAAAATCCAGTAGTAGGGGGAACAGCAGCCACAGGGTAGTTGCTCTTGTAGGTGGTTGTACCTGCCATGACAACATAGTGTAAGAAATGTGGGGGTAATAATGGCACTGAGAATCAGGTGGTTTACACTGCAGCATCCACAGGGCACTCAGTTCCACTCTGTTTCTTCATATTTTGAGGTGAAGGTGCTTCAAGAGCTTGAGAAAATGAAACTAATAGCGCCTGTGACCATCAACACTGCACAACCATGCTTTATTATTTTATCAGAAAGGATGAGTCTGCTCAAAGCCAAATGAGCCCTTGTCAGCATGAAGCCTACTGAATTTGTACATTACATGTTCTGCCATTCAGTGTTTTTTGAAAAGGGAAGTTTTCAAAACAGTGTGTGGCACTTCCATATGAAAGAATTTAAATTCTAACCTCATTACATGGGCAGAAATGCCTTCTGCTAGACCAGGTTACTCATGGCCCCCTGGCCTTGAGCACTTCCAGAGATGGGGCATCCACAGCTTCTCTGGACAACCTGTTCAGTGCCTCACCACCCTCACAGTAAAGAATTTCTTCTGTATCTAAACCTGTCCTCCTTTAGTTTGAAGTAATCTATTCCTGCCCTGTCCCAGCACGATCACAGGATCCTCTCCACCTTTCTTGTGGGGTTTTAGGTACTGGAAGGCCACAATTAGCATCTCACCAGCTCTGTCTTCATAGGAGGGGCACTCCATCCCTCTGATCATCTTGGTGGTGTCCCCTGGACTCAGTCCATCAGGTCCAGGTCTGTCCTGTGCTGGGACCCCAGAGCTGGTGCAGCCCTGCAGGTGGGGTCTCAGCAGAGCAGAGGGGCAGAATCCCCTCCCTTGAACTGCTGGTTGTGCTGCTTTGGATGCACCCCAGCATCTCTCCCAGAAAGAAATAAATAAAAAGCAGTACTGAAATGTACCCAGAATGTATTTCCTCTTACTTTTTTAAAATTTAAATATTTATTGGAAATTTGGGTTTTGAATCTACTTTTACAAAATGCTGCTCAATTTTTTTTAGAGTTCTTTTTGCATTGCCTGTGGGATTTATATGGAACAGCATGAATAAGTTTGTTTCACAGCATTACTCAATTTCTTTCGGAAAGACTCCAAGCACAAGCAGGTCTCAGTAGGCTTTGCAAGATAGATACAGCAGGTTATGAGGACACACATCTGAAGGTATATGTTTGCAAGAACCTACTGTAAAACTTCTTATATAAATTTCATGCATAAAACCGAAAGCTTTTTGTGGTCTGAAGCTGGTAATAATCAAATGGGGCATCTTAACAGATGTCTTTTTGCACTTGCTAGCATTAAGTCAAACCTTCCCTGAGGGCTACATTTGCTTTTCAGCAAAACCCACTTTGGATTATCTTTCCATCCCCCACCTCCTAAAAAAAGCAAGGCTATAGAGTAGTGGATGTATACAAGGAAATTGCTCATGAACTTTTAGGTTATTAGCATGTATAGTGAGGGAGATTTTTGAAACAGACTTTTTCTATTTCTAATTTCAGACGATGTGTAGTCTGTTGTTCTACTTTATAATGAAAGCTCCTGGTCATAAGAGATAATACTTAATTAGTTACTAACTTTTCCCTTTAAATTAGCTAGAATGAGCATTAAAATATCTGTCTCCATTGTCAGTCAGCAGATATTTATAATTTGGGCCTTTAATAAAAATTTCATATTAGTCACATTTAGCTTTCTAGCTTTTCCTAATTTTTGCTTTTTATTATCAATCATAGTAATGCATGCTGCCTGCCCTGTGATATGGACAACTGATGCCCTTCATGTAAGGAATGAAAGAAATGTAATTTATCCACAGAAAGTCTAATGTTTGTACGTGCTTCCTGAAAAAACCTCAGAAATGGTAGCCTAAATGTAGCAGAATCCATCCTGTGCTCATAAAGGATGCAGATAAAGCTATGAATACATTTTATGGATCAGATGGGATTTAGCCTGAAGGAAAATATAGGATTAGTTAGAATGGCAAAGATATATGATAGATGTTTTTGAAAAACGTTCCTTTGTTTGGAGGAGTACATGTGTGTTTTGCTAAAAATCTGGGTATGTGACTTGAAGGCATGAAGTCTTTGCATCCCTTTTCTTAGGGCAGTTTCTCTGTAGTTCAGGCTGCTGTCAGTAACAGCCCTTGGGGATGAATGAGCAGAAAAACCCCAGTGATATTCTGAAAGGTAGAATGGCAACTGCTGATGTATATGTAGGCTAAATGAGTTGTTGTTTCCCTGAGGCTTGGAAGTTAGCTATTAATCCAGTTTGCTTTGACATTCAGTCTTTTTATAAATTAGTATATTATGTATCAGCACTGGGGCAAAAATCTCAAGGGGGTCAGATAAACGGTTCTGTTTGAAATGTTCGGGTTGAGCACTGATAGATCTACTTTTTAATGAAATACATCTTAGAAAATAAAAAAAGAATAGTAAACGTTTTTTGAGTCTAATGCAAAAAATCATGTCTTCCATGCCTTGTATCATGCAGTTTGGTGGACTAATTGGAATGCATTCCCGAACTAGGATATATTATACAATGAGATGGACATAAGAAGAGCACCTAAATAATGGCTTTTTTTTTCCCTGAAGTGCAGTTAGACGTGAATGAAAATGTCAGATATCTCTCACATGAAAGAAATTGAGCCTCAGCTAAGACTTATTTTTACCTCTGCTGTTCCAGCATTACCAGATGGACAGTTTAATTTCTTAAGATCTGCTTGGTGTCGGGCTGTCAGTGATAAATTCCCTGAAAAACCTAGTGCTCCCAGAGGCATCATGTGTTTTTCCATCTTCTGCTTCTCCTCAGTGGCTGAGAAGACCAAAGAGCAGGTGTCCAATGTTGGGGGAGCCGTGGTGACGGGGGTGACGGCGGTGGCGCAGAAAACGGTGGAAGGAGCCGGGAACATTGCTGCAGCCACTGGCTTGGTGAAGAAGGACCAGTTGGCCAAGCAGGTTGGTTTATTTGCAGTCTCTTCCAGGTGAAGAAGTGAGCAGTGAGGGGCTCATGAACTGAGAGGCAGATGGGGTACTTTCTGTCTCTCAGTTGTATGAATACAAAATTGCGTTGTGCCAAACAAACAGCAAAGATGTCTGCTGTTTATAGCTTGTATTTTGAGTGGCTTGCAGGATCTGGGAACTTGAGTAGGATTAGGCATGGGACTTCACTAATCAGAAGTGTTTTAGTTAATTTGGATCATGGTTTAAAGTGTGATCTAGTGGTGGTTCTGAACTCAGGAGCCTCTAGTGGAGACCAGCTGCTGTAGGATAGCTATTTAGTTTTGTGAAAATATAACTGTTTTTGCTTTTCAATCCCAAATTACTGGGAATCTGCTGGTACTGAAAGGTCAAACAGCAAATCTCAGGTTTAACAGCACAATTTGTATCCTCTCTAGTTGTAGAGAGGAGGGTTTGTGTGCCAATCCACTGACTGGTTAGACACATTGCATCTCAAGTCAAGATATATCTGGAGAGTCACTGTCTTCCATTACTACAGTGACACTATCTCAAAAATGCCTCTAAATAGCCTCAATTATGTAGATCAGCTTTGCTCTAGGTCATCCTATGAAACACTGTAGGTATTTTTAATCATGCACTGTAGTTAATATTCTTCCACTGACACTAGGTGAAAAGTGACCCCGGCTGGCAGGAACAATGCTTTCCAAAATGTGTGGAGTGGTTTTTTTAAGAGACAAAAATAACTCAGAAGACACAAATGCCTCCTTCTGTGCTGGTTTTTGCATGAACCTTTGAGAGTTAGACAAAAGTAGGATTAGGAAGAGTATTTAATATTTACACAAAAATGTGGCTGTCATGGAAATGAGCATGAAGTTCTATTGTGTATCTTATTTGCAGCAAGTGTCCAGAGGAGCTGGAAAAATGGAATCCTTAAAAAATTGAGTTTTTTATCCTTGTTGGAGTGCAGTCCTGTCTGTCTGACAAATCTTATTGGTGCTTTACTATGGGGAGCAGAAAGGGCTGTTAGATTGTGGTAGGCATTCATTGCACTGTGGTAGATTGTCTGGGAAGCATCTCACAAGCAGTTTCATTCTCTTTCAAATCAATATTCCTGGGGGATTTTTTTAGCCCTTTTTTTTTTCACCTATAAGTAACATGGTGCTTTTGATGCGGTCATGGATCTTGGTAAAAGCTGTGTGGGAAGATTTGCAAAATGGAGAATCTAATGACCTGCCAGGGGATACATGAATATAGCATGGTCACAGTAGTCTCTGCTCTTCATTTCTGCGAAAGCTCTTCTGTAGTTTTATGCTGAGAATATTCTTTTCTGTTCACAGCTCTTGAAACTCAGTGTAATAAGGATCATCACTGCTGTAATGCACAATTACCCCCTTTAGTATTGACCATAACTAATGCCTTTTTATCTCTCTCTGTAGGGAGAGATCCCTGTAATTATCAAGTATAAAGCAAATGTCTGCTGACTTTCATTTCAATCTCTTCTCTGTATTGTAAAGCTTAAATATAAGTCGTGATGGCTGTAACAAAATCACATCTGTGAAATGAAAGAAGATCCATAATGTACATGCATATTTATATTAATAGCAACATTATTCTGAACAGGTGTTTTGTTCTGTAGATATGTAAAATCATTCATTTGAGGCTTGATACTGATATTTTTAGACTGAGATTCTCAGTCATCTATGCAGTATGGCCATGTAGCTGACAAATATCTGTGACTGCTCTTGGATTGCCTTGTACCTTTGTCTTTTACTGGTTCTGGAAGGGATGAGTGGCCATTTAGAAAATGGTAATATCAGCCCTGAGTAACATGTAGTTACTTTAAAACCTGGTGGGTTTTCATTCCTTTGCAGCTTGGAGGCACATGAGATAGCTTTTTCTTGGATTTTTCAGGTAGACTGACAGTTTGGTAGGGCAGGAGTGGGCATCCAGGGTAGCAGTGGGACCTCAGAGAAAGCAGGTGAGCCTTTCTGAGATAACAGAAGGCGCCAACCAGGCATTGAGTATCAATGTAACTTTTTAAAATTTATCTCTCCCTGCAAGGTTATGTGTGTTAGGTCTGCTTGCCTGTGGGAAAGCTTGCAGTCTTGTGTAGTGGCTGGCATTTTTCTTGTCCTGTGATGGAAGTTTGGGTTTGACTTTCAGCTAATTAAAAACACTATTTTTTTTTAAACCTGTGGGTACAATGATACTTATGCTGAGGAAATAAGTAGCAAATTCTTAGTAAAACTCTTTCTTAAGAAGTTTCTCCAAGCTGGCCAGTGCAGCCTTAAAAGCTGGCGTGCTTTGGAGCATGAAGCAGAAGCTGAAGCAGCCAAGTGAGGCCAGGCTGGAGGCTGCTGTGACACCCCCTGTCACCCACCTGCCCTGCAGCTGGTGTGAGCAGGCAGTGTGGAGTGACAGCTGAGACAGTGACAGACAGGGGTGACTTCAGAGTGCCCGTCTCAGGCTGCCTGGGGGATTTCTGCTTTGGCAGAAGCTCGCTGCTAATCACAGCCAGGGTGGTGGTGGTGGTTTGTAGGCTCAAATTAATTATGAAAGGGCTAATGTACTGCAAGCAGTATTTTACTGAATCATAAAACATTTATTGTGTGCCCGTGTGTGTTTTGTTTCTGTGTTCTATGTGTCTTCGAAGTGAGTTTTTAAAGAGTAAAAATTACTGATAGCTGCATTTAATGCAGAGATAAACATGAATGTTCTATTTGCAAGTCAGCCTTGAATGTATGGATAAAAATGGGTGGGGGGTGTACCAGCAACTGAATGTATTATGTATCATATTTTGAAAACAAAATATGGATTACAAAGTTTGTTTTCAGATAGTTAATTAACCAATTGAAGTTCTTAACCTCACTGAATCCATGTCATTTGGTTCCCTGGCATCTCAAGAATAAACAGTTGCCAACTTCTATGATTTCCATGCTGAATAATTTTATTTTTACTGTTCTGGTGCCATAATTCCCAGTCAAGCTGAAATGTCAAGGTTCTTTGAGTACCCTATGGTGCTATAGTCATATGGATTTCATGTGCTCGAAGTTCTCCTAAAGTAAACAGAACAACAGGTCTTGTCCCTAAGATTTTTGGTTTCTATATGGATCATCTTTGGTATCTCTGTGTGCTAAATCCTTTTTCTTTTTATAGTGTCTCTTGATTTAACACATTTGCAATAAATAGCTCTGAAAACACAAAGTTACAGTAGCATATAACAAGTAGGTAGGCAATATGCTTCCTGAGGAGCTAATACAACTCATTGGTTTAATTATGAAGCTTTCAGTGAAAAAGCCTGTGTCAAGACTGACAATTTAGGCATTAGGTATTTTCTTCTGTAGAAAATGGGTATTAAGCAGGAGCCCTTGCTAATTGCATTTAATGTGAAAATTAACAGCAAAAGCAATGGCAAGTTAGCTCTATCTCCCCTTCCCACCCCCTGCCTTTCCTGGCACTCCTTAGAATTCAAGCAGTGTCATAGCATAAACACTCGGTGAAGTGGAACAGCTTTAGAGTATTTCTTGCCTTACTACTTTTCCTTTCTAGAGCAGCTAATCTTGTGAACCACCAACATTTTCCACAGACATGATCCTTTGTTCAGAGCCAGGGTGAATGAATCTACTTTGGGGAATCACTATAATCAAATATAAAATTTTGTAGAAGCCTTTTTGATCCTTCTTACAGGCAAGCTCCATGAGACATGGTACGTTGCTCAGACATGATGAAACACCTTTTAATTTTGGTGAGAGCAACTCAGTTTTGATTAAGACACGAAACATCACAGTGCACTCCAGTTATCTGTTATTTGTTCATTTGGGAAACCTTACTAGTAGAAGGAATGCAAACCCTGTGAGTGTCTCTGAGAATTTGCCTTTCAGTAGCAGAAGGAAGGATACTTTTTTGCTTTATTAAACATCAGTTTCTTGAATGTAAGCAATACCACTTCTTTCAAAGATATCTGATTTGTCTTGTTGCAAGTTGAGATTCCTGTGTGTTCCCAAAGAACACACATCTGTAGTTTAAAAGACCAAAAAAGCTGCATATGAAATCCTGAGATTTTGCAATTTGATTTTAAAAATGGAGATCAGTTTAGAAACCCTTCTGTAACAGTCTTAGGCAGAATTAACCTAGGGATGACATTTGACTTCTGCTTAAATTATCTTGGATATCAGTTTCCAAAGCTTGAATATCAACATTAAACTCCCCAACACTGCTTTAGTGCTCTCCTTGTTACCTACATACTATAAAAATGTCTAGCTTGGTAATTGAAAAGCTTCAACAAGGTGTTTTTTTGTTTTGTCTCTTTTTATCTTTTTGAGATCTATTTAGCATATTTTCTTTGCTACAGTGCCACAATACTGACATGCCACATGGAAAATTCCTAGAACGTTAAAAATTAATTTTAATGTACTTTTTTGTTGTAAATAAAATTCTAGAATTAGGTCTAATCATTGCAGAGTTTGGATGTAGGTGGCAATTTGTATTTTGATAGAATGTGAAGATCTCCAGGCTCTGTGACCGCTTTAATGTTGAGTATACTGTAGTGGATGCTTGGCTTATTGAAGGATCACCATTCCCCATCTTTCCAGTCCATAGGTTGGTCAACTAATTTTGAAAAGCTTGCATAAAAACACAAAGGAAAAACTGTGGAGCAAAGATGTCCAATTTCCTTTTTCAGAAAGGGAATTAAAGTGTTTTTTTTAACTTTGCATTCCATTTTTTGCTGTTTGCTAGATGTGTCTCAAAAAGGCCATTATACCCCTATGAAAAGCAGGCTGCTAAGTGCAAGTTGCATGAGACTGAAACTGTTGTTCTTTAGTTGGAGCAAGCAGATCTCCCACAGTATTTAGTATGAGCAAAACATCACCCCTGTATGATTTGAGGAAACTTCAGTAAGATTTTGATGTGCCAAATGCAGAAGTGACCTCCACCAATGAACTTCTGAGGTTAAATATTTTCTGTAGAAAAAATTTTCCAGAAAAGTGTTTTCTGTA